TCTTTCTGGGCCTCATTTGAAATTCGTGGTACCCATCGAGCAGCTTTCCTCGTATATCCCAGTTGATTTTTTAATATTTGCTAAGCAGCCATGGCATTCAACTCCAATTCATTAGCAAATCATTTTTTTTTTTTTCAGTGGAAGATTTTGGTCGACAAACTACGAAACCACTTACAAATAGTCTTTAAGACGGTGTATTGACTGTAAATTACACCGAAACCCTAAGAGAATCGAATGGTGAACTTCTATTTGCGTTTGTGGTGGAATATCGTCTGCCTTATGGTCAGATATCTCGTGTTTTCTCTTCTCCATTTTAGTCGATCGTTCTAAAACTTGACAGCAAGATTAATAAAGTAAAAGCAAAGGATTTAATGCTTTTGGATTTAACAAAAACAAATTGAAAGCCACCCACTGACCGAACCTTTGTTAATGCCATCGTATGTTGGTAAGGCTGCTACTGCTGCTGCTGCTGTTGCTATTGTTTGGGTGTGTGAACGCTTTTGCATTGATTATTTTCTCCTCATTGTATGCTGCTCACGGGCATTGCATTTTGGAATTTATTCTTTTCGCGCCACAAGCAGCCGCAGCCTCCATTGCCGCGGGTGTGTCACACACCTACTGTGCAACAATTTTATTATTATCTACACAGCCAAAACTCTAGGCAGTCAGGCTGGGTCGAAGCTAAATGGCTATATCTTTTTAGCTTTTATTTCTTTATATATGCATATATATTCGTACATATATTAAGTTTTAGTTGTAAATATTTTCACATACTTATATACCATATCGCCAGCGTTTATTATTATTATTGTAATTAGTTCGTTTAGTTGATCTTATTAATATTTTAAGAATTTTAATTAATTGCGAACACCGTTGTTAATTAGAAAGGTATATACCTACACATATCTATTTCATACCTTTTTCTATTTCATTATAAAAAATTTATGTATGGAGTAATTTTTTTCTGAAGGTGCAATATTGATTTATTTCGTTATTAAGTTACCACGGAGGCGTTACACTTATCTACATACACACATACATACATGGAAATGCATGTACGTGCGGGTTGGTGTTGAGCAATTATTTGATTTCATGCGAAGATAAATTTTAATTGAAATTCAATATTAAAACGTGTAATTAAGATGTTGAGGTTGGGAATGCGATCAATAAATTGAAAATATTGTATTAAATTTTATTTGTATATGTAGGTATATACATATATACCAACTTTTATGTTAGCATAAAGTAATTTTATATATATTTTAAACAGTTTGATGTTGAAATCTTTTTATTTCTTTTTTTTCAAATCAAGTATTCCCAGTTACCTTTCTTTATTAATTTTTATCATTTTAAAATATTTTTAGATTTTAATTTTTCACTACAATAATCTCATCAAAGCTGTGACTTTTTGAATAACCAAGCATTTTTATGAAAAACTGCAATTCCCGTGCACCCACTGTAGAGGCTTTCTATATTTTGTCCATTTCCAATTCTATTTGGTATTGCCAAGAAGAATAAAAACCCTTAATTAAATAATCATCTTATTCAAAATATTATATTAGATTGTTTGTCTGTGTGTGTCTCTTTAAAGTATTTCAAGAAAATTTCAATGCAAATACCTCCAAGTAATCCAAACGTACCATTCGGAGCTAATCTACGCTTATTTAAACTCAAGTTGAACGTATAGGAATAGCTTGCAACCCGCAGCCGCAGCATAATATGCATGAGAAGCGACCATACCTACGCTCGATCTGTGCTTATATCCAAATCATACTTATTTTTGAAAATTTGACGGTCATTCCTCTTCCCTCTCTACGTACAGCTGGAAACGAAACAATTGGATTTCGGAAAGGTCGCAAAAACAGCTGGTACAGCTGGTGTCGTGGTGGAAAGAAGCGACCGCCTACCTCACCACCTTGCGATCGACCACAACACGAGCGGGGTGGGATAGATACCAAGAGCTCAAGAGGGTAGCAAGACGCATTTCTAGGGAAAAAAGGGGATGAAATGCGTTAGTACGAGTAGCTTGAAAAGCTGGCAGATAAGAGTAATGCTCGAAAATTCTCGAAAAGATATGGCGACTTACGGAAGGTTTCAAGCGAGGAGCAAACTCTTGTAGGACCCAGGGAGGTGATCTAGTGACGGATGCTCAGAGTGTATTGCATGTATGGAGGGAACACTTCTCTAGCTTGCTAAACTGTGTTGAAGAAGAAAAGCAATACTGAAAGCTCCGTCAGTATCGGAAATTACCTCACCCAGCCGTTCGATAACAAACGAGGTTTCAGACAAGGCGACTCCTTATCGGGAGACTGTCTTAATTTGATGCTGGAAAATAAAATTTGATCTGGTTAGCTGAATAGGGAAGTTACGATCTTCTATAAAAGTGTACAGCTTCTGGCGTACGCCGATGATTTCGACATTATTGACCTCCACAACTGCGCCGTTAGTTCTGCTTTCTCCAAAGTAGATAAAGAAGTGAAGCAAATGGGCCTGGTAGTGAATGAGAGCAAGACGAAATATCTCCTGTCATCAAACAAACAGTCATCGCATTCGCGACTCGGCTCCCACGTCACTGCTGATAGTCTTAACTTTGAAGTTGAAGATAAACTCGTCTTGTAAACAGGTGCTACTTTGAGCTGAGCAGGCAATTGAATAGTAAAGTCCTCTCTCGGCAAATGAAAACCATTATGTTATAGAAGCGTGGACGATACCAATATCTGATGAGTCGCCACCAGGAGTCTTCGAGAGAAAGGTTTTGCGAACGATTTAAGGTTCCTTGCGTATTGGCAGCGGCGAATACCGCAAACAACTGAACGATGAGCTGGACGAGCTGTATGATGATATTGACATAGTCCAGTGACAAGAGACAGCGGCTACGCTGGCTAGGTCATGCCATACGAATGGATGATAGCACCCCAGTTTTCAATGCAGTACCCGCTGGTCGAAGGAGAGGAAAAGGAAGACCTCCACTCCGTTGGAAGGATAAGGGAGAGAGAGCGACCTAGCTTCACTTGGTATTTCCAACTGGCGCCAAACTGCGAAAAGAAAGGACTAATGGCGCCGTGCCAAGGCTAATAAAGAAGAGGAAGAAGAAAAGATTATTTTTTGCAAATAAAGTATTATTTATATTTCGGGAAAATCAAACTTGGTTCCAGATTCCTGGCCCATTTCTAGGAAACAAAGGTATTCCATCAAGGCGCTATCAACCAAAAATTTAAGTAAATCGAGCAATCAATTAGAATTTCAACTAAAAGCAACTATAGAGAGAACAGTAACTTTTCCGTTAATCTTAGCAAAAAGCCGCCTATATACCACACCATAACCTAACTTTTCTCGATTTTCCAGAAAACCTGGAAACAAAGTGACGAAATTTTCATTATAATCTGCCGAAGATAATCAACGTCAAAGTCATGGATGCAATGAGATTGAATAGAGAATCGAAACGGATAGCAAAGGCCAATGGCCAAATTTTTGATGCAACACAATGGATTTTTGACACAGAATATCATATCCGAAAAATTGGTCAATGTGGATTGGCAGGTTTAGATAAATGTCCCAGTTTGGTTGAATATCTCACCAACTGAGAGCCTAGTTTGCGTTCAAACAGACATATGGATAGACTGGCATGGTCAATCAACTGAGCTCATCATCATGATTCGTTCGATATAAATTTTGGCTCGTCTGGATTTTCTTCTTGCTCTTATATACGTTTCCTTGTGAAAATAGTTCATATACCATTTCATGTTCATGAAAGATATAAGGGAGGTAGGTGCAGCGGATATCTGACGACGCACTGGGGTCCTTAGGAAAACCATTGGGAAATTACCGCTACTGTAGTCCCCTCACACTACCACCTTGTGGTCTTCATAGAGTTATTTTATTCGAAAAGTTTTATATGTGCAACAGTATCTTCTTGCACCATTTCTTGGCAGCATCTACAGTAATCGTTGTATCTTACCCTGCTGGCATGTCTGTCGATCGTTAGCCCTCGCACTACAGTACTTATATCTTATGTGCGGCCCATATTTTTTTTAGGTCACTTTTTGACCAAGTGGGGATTATTTCCACCGAGTCTAAACATGTTTGTAACACGTTTATTAATTAAATATCAGCAAATAGGCAGAAGGTAATTGTAAAGTAGTGAGGCATCTGACTAGTTTCACCGTTAACTGAAATGTCTCTGTCTCTTGGAACCTATTGCTGGTTCCACTTTAGTGATTTCCAATCCCTTTGGCTTTCTTTGTATATAAATAAATTTCTTGTTGTTAGCAGTCTTCTGACAAAGAGGATGTAGTAAATGTAATAATCTCCGCTTGCCAAACACTGCAGTGATCTGGTAGTTGTATATATACGGACTACAGCCAACTCTTTGAGCCACTATATCTCAGCAATGACGGCTCTTTGGAATAAAAAAAGTATTTGAACAACTTTACTGTACTAATCTTATAGTAAATTTACCATTTAGACGAAAATCGAAAGGCCATACCTGCGCACTATACAACAGAGCGAGAAGAATGAGTGACTTGTAGATATTAGTCTTTGTTCGTCGAGTGAGGACTTCACTTTTCAATTGCCTCATCAGTCCAAATGAGCAGCTGTTGGCAATATAGATAGTGATTTTGATTTCCAGATTACAATTATCATTGGTGTTTATGCTGGTTCCAAGATAGATGAAATCAGCAGCGACCCCGAAGTTAGGACTGCCAACAGTGATGTGTGAATCAAGACCCAAGTGCAACGACTGCTTGCTTGATGAGAGAAGATAATTCGTCTTTTTCTCTTTCACTATCAGGCCTACATACTTCGCTACCTTATACAGTCGAGTCTGGAGGAAGCGGGTCTAGAGGAAAATAATAAGAATTTTTTCTTTTGTTCAATAAAAAAGGGAAGTGTCAAGATCTCCGAGTGTATTTCTGACTTGAATTAAAAATTCCTCTTATAAAAATTCATCCCCCATATGTAGCAGGCTTAGAATAAATTTTTGTTTTCTCAATTTTTAGGCAAAACATTAGACGCATAACTACAAATTAGAGGAGGAGCTCGCCCGAAAATCGCCAATTTTAACTAAAGAATGTATAAAAAAGGTTAGAGGGAAAAATTTAACGTTTAAGATAATTTGAATATCAAAAACGAAAAATAAAAAAATTATTTTTAAAGAAAATAAAATTAAAAAATATCATACATTTAGCTAATTCGCCACAATCTGCTGGAAAATCAATCTTAACAGTAATATGCTCCACTTTTACGATATTGAAAACCCATTTGGAATAAACAATTTTTCGTAGATAATAATTTTTGTGAAATTGCTTCTTATAAGTCACTTACATATTTACTGTTATATTATAAGTAGCAGAATTGAGCATACGTAGCTGGAGCGTGTCCACTGAGCGTGTGCACTATGCCGAAAATAAAGGAAAAATATGCGCTGCAGGCAAATTAAGGCAACACAGCTCAAAGTTCGGCAAATGCTTGCAACAAAGCATAAGCGGCACGCAAGCAACAACAGCAATGCATACACATTGAAAAAAAAGTTGGTTTGAGTGCAATTAATTAGATCTGTTTTATTATTATTTTTTGATTTATTTTTTTTATTTTTTTAGTTTATTTGAAACCAGTTTTGATCGACTACAAAAATTTCGGTACTCTTGGCTATGGCTGCGGCTGGACCAGAGGACACAGTGGTTAAATGTGCATGCAATAGAAAAAATTAAATAAAAATAATTGTAGTTAACTGCACCGCATAGTCGTTAGTGAATATATTTTTTCGTTTGAAAAAATATATATGTATATACTTGTGTGTTTGTAGCAAGCAATGGCCTAATAGCCTATATAACGACAGCAAATCGAAAAAGCACTAACTATTTGCAGTTGGAAAATTTGGAAAAAATCGTATAAATATTTTTATTATACGAATTGTTATTTTTTTAATGATAATTGCATATTTTTTACCTTTATTACTTATTTTTTCTATGATAATATTTTTTGTTTCTTTTTATTTTTATAATTTTTTGAATGATTTCATTTCATTTTCTTTTGCCTACATTATCTCCCAGACATGTCGTCAGCCGTCAATAGCGAACAATTCGCTAAATTGCCAATTCTTTTTTCCACTACCATTTTAGTCAATAGGAAATACGAACACATTTACTCCCAAAAATAGTATTAAACAAATGTAACAGATTTGAAGGATTCTTTTAAATGTTTGAAAATAAAGTTGTTAGTCGCGGAGAAACATGACATTTTGCGATTTATGTCAACGTAAGGTGGTCCAAGTAGCAAATACATAGTTAACAACAAAACCAACAAAAATTAGCTTAAAAATAAAAACAAACAAGTCGAACGCTCGATTGAGGTTACTCACTGAAAACACTCGAGATTGCAACCAAAATTGGTTGGAACGTCAAAGAATAGCGCGTGCAGACGCTAACAACTCCATTCAAATGTTGTGTTGATTTGTTAATTTTTTTTCTTTCCTTAGCTTGTTATTGCATTTATTTATTTTCATTTTTAAATACAGTAGCTATAATTCAAGCGTTTCGTGGTCATACGGCGGACGGTCTTTAAGTAGGTGATCGTCATTGAGCATGTTTTTAGAGATGACTGAGCAAATAATATTAGTGAATTAACTGTATGCATGAACATGTGTGTATATGTATATATAAAAACAGAGCTTCACAGTTTCCATTTTGTTTAGTTCTCAATTTCTTGGCTTTAACTATGCATGGTGTAGTTTATTTTGATCGCTTCTTTCGTCGTCGCTGCGGTCATCAGTTCAAGTTCAATGGCATGGCGGCGATATTGACAGCCAGCTTCTTCTGAAGAAGTTCAGGTTTAACGTTATGATTTTTTTTTTAATTTTTAAGCATATAATGCAGCTGCTTGTAGTTCTTATTGCAGTACGAAGCATGACTTGATGTGGTCGCCAAGGAAAATTGGCTGCAATGTCTAGAGTCGGGCCTATGACAGTGCTTATGCATATAATGTATATTATGTAGAGAAAAATCATGTTTACAAAAACTTAGTTAAAAGTGGATCAAAAAATAAGCCAAATGAACGCCCACAATCGTTATTTAAAGCCAATAATACTCAGGGAATAATTCTTGAGCCTGCTGAACGACAGTGAAACTGGAACACCCGGAGATGATGAACCCGAAACCCCATTCGATAACGATGAAAAAGACGTTCCACTAACTGACTATGCCGAGGTTCGAATAGCGCTTGGCCGCTTAAAGAACAACAAAGCGGCTGACACCGACTGCCCTCTCGCAGTGCTATTCAAATATAGCGGTGAAGAGTTGAAAAGGTTAAAGTCCACCGTCAACAAACTGATTGGACCTTATCAGTATGGCTTTAGACCTGGTAAGTCAACCATTGACCAGATATTCACCATGCGCCAAATCTTGATATACCATTGAAAAGCGGGTCGACACACACCACTTTTTCGTCGATTTTAAAGCTGCCTTTGACAGCACGAAATTGGGCTGCCAGTACTCCTCTATGACTTTTAGCATCCGCAAAAGCTCAAAAAGCTTCATCAGGTTCGAGAAGAACCTCTCCGAGGCAATCGGTATCAAACGAGGTTTCATAGAAGATGATTCCTTATCGAGTAACTTCTTTAATGTATTGCTGGGGACGATAATTCGAGCTGCAGAGCTAAATAGAGAAGGTACAATATTCTATAAGAGTGTACAGCTGCTGGCGTACGCAGTTGATTTCGACATTATCGGCCTCAATAACCGGGCCGAGAGTTCTGCTTTCCCCAGACTGGATAAGTAAGCTAAGGGTATGTGTCTGGTGGTGAACGTGAAGAAGGCAAAACATCTCCTGTCATCACACGAGCAGTCATCACATTCGCGACTCGGCTCACACATCTTTGCTGACAGTCATAACTTTGAAGTTGCAGATAAACACGTCTATCTTGGTAGCAGTTTTAACAAGAACAACAATAAGAATCTGGAAATTCAGCGCGGAATCACTCTTGCCAACATGGGCTACATTGGACTAAATATGGAATCAAAAGGTGAATCCTCTCTCAGCGAACGAAAACCAAACTGTACAAGTCTCTCATCATTCCCGTTCTGCTATATGGTGCGGAGGTATGGACGATTGCGAAATCTGATGAGACGGCAATAAGAGCTTTTGAGAAAATGGTTTTGGGTATGATTTATGGTCCTGTGGCTGTTGGAAATCAAGAAACGAATCAAGAAACAAGGACTGCGCTGGGGAGATCATGTAGTCAGTATGGATAAGAATAATCCAGCTTTGAAAGTTTTCGATATAGTAACCGCCGGTGGAAGCAGAGGAAGAAGAGGTACTCCACTCCTTTGGTTGCATCGAACTGGAATGTTCGGCCCATTTAAATAGTAAGGTTCCTTTAAGTAGCTAGTTTATGTTCTTGTAAGAGTAAAGGCTGTCATTGCCATCGTCCAAAAAGTACGTTGGATAGAACAAGCATGGAAGCGATTAGGCCCTTTTGAAATTTACTACTACGACCTTATGAGGCAGAGTAAATTTTGGGGCGGATTTGTGGTGGGGGAGAGACTCTGTCTTGTAGAAGGCATCCAGTTATAATGTGTATTAAAGCGAAACTTTTCAACGCATCGCTGGTTTGCGCCCACTGTGGAAGAGAAGGGTGATGTGACCAAGGACGCTTGCTATGAGCGAATAGAATGTGCCTATGAGTGCTGCCAACGCCACGATATGAATAAATGGTTGGATTTAGACAACTCCGGAGCTCAAATCACTGAATCCGCAGTACCAGATTTTCCCTTAAGAAAATCTAAAAAGCTACATGGCATATTAAAAATCATCTTGTGATTGACAGAAGACATGTCTTCAATATTGTAGAGGTGCATACAAACCGGAGATCTAACCGTGACTCAGATCATTTGCCTTGTCGTAGCGAAAATATGCACTCGTCTCTGTGTATAAAAAAACGCCCGTCCACAAATCCAGCAAAAGTTGGACGTCGAAAAGCTGCAAACACAATTTACAACCAAACGGTTTTCTGTTCGACATTTTAGAAGTATGGTTTGGCACCTCAAACGCCGCAAGGAAAAAAAGCTGGTTGGATAAGGAATATTGAGCTGCAGTGGAGAGAAATCAGATTGTCTACCTCGCAATCTTGCCATCGAGAATACGAAATTTCTCGCTCTTAGATGCTTTTTTGACAAGTTTATGACTCAGAAAACCCCAATCTTTTTGGTACTTTCATACTTCGGACCAAAGTTCACATACCATTTCATGGATATAAATGAATATTTAATTCAAAAAATAAGAAAACTTTGTAACATAAGTTAGATTCCTCGCAAATCCTTTTAGAAATCATTATTCAAATGCTGATCATATTAAGCACACCATTTATTTTGCTTATGGAGTGCTCACCTGCCTCATTTATTTGCCTTATTGATGTCATTATCGTCATTAATATCAATCATTTTTAACAGCATTAAACTTAAATCTAAGCATATATTTACACAATTTTCCAAGTAATAAATAAATCTGGATAATAAACATTGAAATTTATGCAGCACGTGCCACACACACACACACACACACACACTCTCACAAAGAAACAAAACGTATAAACCAAAGGCTGTGCACAAGCCGCAAAGACGCTGTCGTGAGTTGACCAGAGATGAGCAGGCGCACGAACAGACAAAGAGACAGGCAGACAAGCAACGCAGACACTTTCAAACAAGCAACAACAACAAATATATTTAGACAGTGACTATGAATCTCTGAATATGTATATATGCATTTACGTTGCGAGTAGTTGGATGAATAGTCAGATAGTGGAATCCATTACCGCTAATTACCATAAATCGCTACTATGCGCTACACCACGTTTCATGCCGATAACGGCGTTGGAGTAAAAGTTGTATGAGGATTTTTGGGGAGCGGGGCTGAAGCATTTAAGTGTCGAGTTGGGGTTTCTGACACCTTTTTTTGTCTTTTTAAGTTTTTGGTTGCCGAAAATTGCCTAACACGCGCTCAACGTCTTCAACAATTTGTTGCAAGTGCAACTTATTACTTAGCGCCATGCACACATAAGCAATTATTTTAAAAATTAATAGTAAAAATAAATAATATTTATTGCATTAGTGAGTTTTACCGTTATACTTGTATTTTACTTTCTTACTGATATTTTATCCTCTCTCTTTCCTTTTCCCTTTTTTACAGATGAAGTCGTTGACCTTGCATTCGATTATATTACTTCCGTTGCTGGCGTTGTTATTGTTGTCGTTGTTATCGACGCAACACGCAAGTGCTGAAGAGTTACAGCCAAATAAAATGGCTGCAGCAGGTGTGCCACCAGCGGAGGTAGATAAGCCAACTTCCGCGCGCATCAATAGGCTGCGTTCGACATCAACAACAACACAACAGCCGCCGTCATTGCGTGCGCCGCGGCCCATGCGCACACCAAGACCCACAACCGTCATGACACATCCGACAAGAAGACCGACAACAACAACAACATTGCCACACTCTACAACTAAACCAGTTACACATAACTCAAGCAAACAGCCGGCAAACGCACGCGGTGCTCGTCGTTTGGCGTCGCACTCCAAAGAGAATATCGCTACGGCATCGCCTATTGCGCGCCGCACAACGCGCGCCGCCACCGATGGCAGCTTGGTGGCGAATGTGCGCCAAAATCGAAGCTACCTGAGCGCGGCGGCGACGCAAGGTTTCCAAAATAGCAACGTTGCGGCGACGGCTGGTAGGAGTGTACATGGCGCTGGCAAGACAGACACACAACAAATTGACGGCGGCCAAATAAAGCGGGTGACACAAAAGACAAACAACAATAAAAACAACATCAATGCATATAGACAACAACAGCAACAAGGTAGCAGCAATAACAATTATCGAAATGTCAGCGTGAATGGAGGGCGCACGAGCGCGACTACAACTAAACCGCCATCAACAGCTTCATCATCAGTGCCGCCACCGCCGACGCCGCCAAATGTTGTGACGTCAACAACGACATCGCTCTCCGCCACTAGCGGTGCTATACGTACAACATCATCAATAGCTACCACGCCATCGCCGACAAACAATGCGATGACGAATCATCAGCACAACCACCAGACGCCACCATCACCATCGCCATCGCCACCGCAACGTCAGTCAAAACAAATCGCTAACTATGCGGCGGTGCGAAGTAGTGTGCAACGCGCCACACCGCCACGGCAAGCAGACGTGACGAGAAACGACGGTGCGGCAAATTCGACGCGTCTACCGCAGACACCAAAATCGTGAGTTACCTTTTTCAGCCAGAGTTTTATATTCAGACACAAACAAACAAACAAACAGACTCAGACTAACAAAGCAAACGTAGAAACACTGAAAGGTGATTGGCGATTTACGATTCGCGTTTAGCGATTTATTGCTCAGCTTTTTTGGTTGTTTTCATTGTTAACTTCAAACTTTGCTTATTTGTTGCTATGCACATGATTTGTAATGATGGGGGGCAGGCAGTTGTGGCAGTTGAAGCAGTCACGGGTCAAGCTCCAACATTGTAAATGGTTCAAGACAAGCGTAACGCTTTAATGATTAGCTATAGTTCCGGGATTTAAGGAGAAATAAAGCGGCGAATTTGAATAAAATTGGAGCTTAATAGTTGGGGCGTTACAGTGAAGTGTAGAGCTGGGCTAGTTCTGGAATTAAGTTATTACGGGCACATCATTGAAAGGGAAATTGAATTTTGAGTCTTTTACAAAGTAAAAGTAGGGGGAGTTATGGTCAGCGTAGTTGGCTGTTGGAAGACGCAAAGCCCTTCTTAGTAATATTAATACTGAAATAAAAAAAGAAAATACCAAAATCTCCTTCTCTTTTATATCTCATTCCCAGTTCGAAAGAGAAAATCGTTAGCCACGCAAAAGCGGAGCCCTGAGATTTTGCTATCAATAATACAATACTTTCACTTCGACTGAGTCGATCAGTAGTAGCACTGTTACCGATACTACCTCATATATGACCCGCTCAGTGCACAAACCGATTAACTCCACTTTTTGAAAAATCTTAAATTTAAGTGTCAGAGCCTTGGGTATAGTCATGACTTTTTAGCACCGTTAAATGGCAAATTATTTTGGAAATTGAATAATAAGAAATTTATTTCAGTAGCCATTTCGATTACCTTCATACCCTAATATAAATCGTTTCAGTAACGCTGTACCTGTTCTGTAGTTTCATTCTTTCTTCACAGTAGACATCATAGCTATCTGACATTGAACATGAACTCGGAGACCCAATTTTCACAGACCTCTCCTGGGGTTAACTTCTCCCCATTAAGCGCGTTCGCTATGGACAGAAAAAGATGGTAATTACTTGGTGCCAAGTCCGGACTATAAGGTGGTTGCATTAGGACCTTTTGGCTGCTTTTTTGCCTTGATCGAAGGAAAATTGTAAAATTTAGCGAATTTTCTCTTTGCTGGTGTCCGTCTTTGACGAGCGCTCAAAACGTACTGAGTCAATCAATCAAAAAACTGTTAAAGACAAACTTTTAGCGCAAATAAACCCGTTTTCAGCGCTGCATAGTATGACATGATGAGACACGTAACCTTAGTACTATGGACAATAACGCCAACTGAGCGAACTTTTTACTTGACCTAATATTTCAACACCGTCAAATCCCAATTGAAAATCTTGCCTTTTTGATGCTGGTAACCACCTTAAACTAAAAATTTCAAAGCAGCTGCCAGTCTTACGATTGGGGATATTGCGACAAAACGATGAAGTGCTTTTTAATTCGGCTCAGTGCTATTCCAAATATATAAAAAAGCTGCTTCATTGAGTCGCAAGTTTTTAATAAAACTGTAAAAAACATATGCCGTAAATATTTATTTCTACTACCATATTTTAACACATTTTATCTCACATTTTATGGTTCAGACTCAAAATGTCTGACTGATTCCTTTAATATCTTCGCTAAATTTTAACTTTGCTTTCGTCGTCAAACCTCAACGTCATCGAATCCATTTTGAAATAATTTTCGTATAGATTTTAAAACTTTAACCGACTTTTGTATAAAATATTTAATGGTTTAAATATTTTGACAATCGTAGCGTCACTCATGTAAACTTCGAGTACGGAAAGCGAATGCGCAAGTGTTAGATAGCGCCATTATCAGTTCTGATCGCAATTTGTTTCGAAGCGCATTGATTTTCGAATCGCTATACGTAGTAGGCGCCCAGCGTAGAGTCTTTGTTCGGCCAACATCCAAAATTATGGAAAATTAGTTTTTCGAATTACGATTAGCCTCGGCATGGAATGCCAATAAAGTTTCCTCGTAAGAATCGGCCGCTCGCAGGTGGCTTAGATTAAACTCCAGGTAATTTCACTTGCGCATTACCACAAATTGGAAAGAGAATGAGTACATAAGTTACTTTAGACAAAAAGCTCTGTTCCGTTTCAAGCATGTCGAACCAATAATATGATTTTTCTGACCGGATGGCTTTCAGGTCTACTTTCTGCAAAAACCTTAACATTTCTTTCTTAAACACCGACTGTCAATTATGAAGAATTGAAAAACTCTAACCAAATTTTTTTGCTTTATCTCTATAAACCAGTACATGTTTAGATATCCCGCCGACATAGTTAAGCCGAAGTTAGTATATTGTGCAGAGGTGTATTGAAATAGACGTGTCTAACACAGAAACGACTTAGTTTAGGAAACCGACGCGTTTACACAACTATAATTAGGAGCTTAATGTGCAGAGGGCCTTAAAGAGCAGAAAACGACGTTCATCGCTTTATCGTCACGGTTGTGGAATGTTAGATATTATCGCTGGAGTGCGTTAGTTGGTGCCGAATAATTGGCAGTTCCTAGAATATCGCGGTGTCAAAAATATCAATCGTTTACATGGGCAAAAGCCTTCGAAAAATTCAAGCCAGTTGTATTCTCTTTTTTCACACATCTAGGGATTTATTTATTGAATTTTCTTAATTTAAGCCTAAAAATAATTAAGAATCCTAAAAACCAATAAATTAATACTTTAGTTCATTAATAGCAATGAAAGTCAGGTAAAAAAAAATATACTGGCAGATTCCAAAAGATGAGAGCGACCTTCTGTGCAGGATAAAATATTCGCTAGAAGATTCGGCTGTTTTTGCAATTTGCATTCTAGTTAACATCGAGAATTTTTTCCTGCAGGCTAGTTGAGTTTTACCACAACCTTGGAGCCTGCCTGTCTACGATGATATTTCAAGTCATATTCTTGCTAAATAATTTCCACACTGCTCATACTTGCTGATGACGTTCCTTTGACTTCCTCTTTCAGGCCACGCATGATCCATCGTCTTGTAGCTGGTCACATACAAAACGCTGAGGGTCGTTCCACCTACCAAGTCTCTGCCGTAACCACAAATAGCTCGATTAGTAATTCGACTACACAAAAGCCAGCCTACAGTCATTATGTACGCGGCAAAGCAGGACAATTGGCCATGAGCAGTTCTTATCGTTTAACCAAAGTGAGCACAACTACAGCGTTACCAACGTACACCGCGACAACAACAACAACAACAACTTCGAAACCATATATTTCAAGAAGAGATCGGGAGGACTTTGCGGTAAGCGACGACGACAATGACAATGGCGATGATGAGGCGCTACTGGAAGATGAAGGTGATTTTGATAATTGGGATAACGGTATATTACGTCTTAGTGCAGGGTCGGGTAAAGAGAATACCGTTAAGTCTAAGAAAAGTAAAGATGATTCAAAGAAAACACTTTCGGATCAAGTGCGAGATGGTAAATATGGCCTAATCGAAAAGGAGCTATTTCGTCGACCACCCAAAAGACCCGGTGTACTAAGTTATTTACCAAACAAGGAGACGCCAATAGATAATGAGCGTACATTCGGTGGTTTAAATGAGGAGGATATTTGGTTGGCGGAAGATCATTTGCTAGTAATCAAGGGCGGTAGCCTTAACGAGGGCGAACCCGAGGAGCCGTGGCCGCCCATCGATGATTATGATGCGCCCGGTCGGCAAATTAAATTGCCACCGAATCCGAAAGTGCCGCCACCATTTCCCGTCCAGCTCGAGGAGAATGGCCCGCTACAGTTTATCGGAAATAATAAATTCACGGTCGTCTATCCGATCGCTAACGAATCGATATCAGTTTATCCCGCCGGCCCGGAAACCAACTACCCATCGGCCGAAAATGATAGTGACAACGAGAAGAATCTTCTTACCCGGCCGGGAACGGCTCAAGATGCTGCACAAGGTGAACCGGGTTATGTCTACCCGGCGCCCTATCCGCCATGGCTCTATCACAACCAAACGTTTGTCAATCCATTCTTAACCAATGCACGTCCAATAACATTCCCCAACTTGGGGCCGTTCCCCATAGCGCGCAATGGTTCTTCGGATAGCGCAAATGGCACGGATTACTTTGACGAAGATGATCCATCGCTATATTATCCACCAGCGTATACCTTTGTTTATAGAAGTAATTATACAAATCCAGTGCCACCCGGTCCCTTAGTGCCAGGTATTGTGTTACCACCACCGCCTAACCAGTTCAGCCGTTTGGAGAAGACGGAGAAAGTGCACACTGCAGCTCCACCGTCCAGATACCGCGGTTATGGCCCTACCTCCACCAGCACGAGCACAACACCCACGACCACAAGTACCACCACTAGCACCACATCGACTACGACTACTTCTACCACCACTGCAGCACCGCCATATCGACCAAAAGTTATTACGAAAATACATCAGTACTCGCCGAAAACGATTATTATTACACCGGAGCCACCACGCGCCATACAACACATACCACATGTGGTGCCACCGAGCAAACTACCTCCTCCTCCTGAGCCAACACCCACAGCAGCGCGCCCTGAAATTATCGAAGCCATTCCAGTTCCAGTGGCAGTTCACATACCCATCTTCCCAGGTAACAAATATCCTCAAACTCGTCCGAATGCCATTCCCTACGAGGCCACAACGCCGCGAAACAGTCAAGAGCCACTATCAAAATCTAATCCCATCTACTATGAATACTTTGAGGCTAAGCGTCAACCGAGCGGTGTCACTACAAATGTTATCGATGACTTCCTCTCCACAACCGAAAAGCCAGTGTTGGCGAAACCAATCAAATTGTACCCCACCAGCAAACGACCATTCAAATCACAAGCACAGAATCAACGTAACTACTTGCCACCACAACGTCAATACTTGCCACAAGATGTGGTCTACATCACACCCAAACCAGAGCCCGTACGCTATAAGCGCCCACCGCCACCTCCTGTACCAGTCGAGGTACCAGTTTACAAACCACGTCCGCTAGAAAACTTCGAGGAGGAGGTGAATGCGATACGTGAGACGCTGCGCTATTATCAAAACCAACAGCTACGCGATAATAGCATACCACGCACGCCCAAAGCAAAACCGATTTACGAGTTCAGTTTTGATGCGTCGAAGAATTTGGAGCCTGCACAACCAACGGCGAATGCAGCAGATTTTCAGCCGCCGGCAGAATATGATGAAGCGCCATTCAAACCAATGGTCACATACAGTCCACCAGTGGACGATGAGAACTCCTTCCACGCCATAGAATTGGAAAAGACACGTCAGACACAGCAGCAACAACAACAGCTATCCGAGGAAGAGCAGTATACGCGACAACAGCAACAACAAACACAACAACGTTATCAATCGACCACCACACTAGTGCCCATACAACCCGATACGCCATATCAACAGTCACCGCCCCAGCTCGGTCGTCCAAAGAAATTACGTTTGGGCGCCAAATATCTACAACAAGCACCACTCTTGCCAGAATATCGTTCCGCCGAACCGGAGCTGGAACAATATGTTGGTAATAAGAGAACGCACGTAGCAACGCCGTGGGTATCACTCAATCAACAGCCGCAGGAGTTGAATGATTATGCGCCACCACAACGCCAACAACAACCAGCGCTGTACCAACGTATTGAACGGCCACCGGTCGCCTACTCACCCAAGCAACGCGGTTTCCCGGGCTATTACTATGGTGGACCAGCGCTGCATGCTCGTCAAAACAATCGTTTCTATGAGGAGCCATTCCAACAGCGACGCATAGTCAATTATCGCCAACCACCGCCACCGGCGCCACCACAACAACAGCAAGCGCAAACTCTGTGGAGCTTAGAGAATGATACTTATGTGAATTACGCACCAAATCGTCCGCCACTCAATCCAGATGCTGAATATATTAATCCCTATCAACCGGGTTTACCATTAAACCCATACCCTGCGCAGCTGCAACGTTACAACGCAGCACAACAACAGCAGCAACAACAGCAAGCGCCGGTGCCACTCTCACATCAATCACAATATTACGGCCATGTGCCATTGCAACAACAACAACAGCAACAACTACCACCGCAGCGTCAATATCAACAGCAGCAGCAGCAGCAGCAACAACAACAGCAGCAGCAGCAGCAAATACCTCTACATCGTGACATACTCGTCAACTACCGACAACCTCTACCGCCCATCAATCCAGACAGTGAATATATTTCGCATCCGCAAGTTGTGCGTCCTCACATCGCCTATTCGCCCATATATCGTGCCAATCCCTATCAGCGGCCACTGCCGCCACAACTGACGGCGACGGGCGAACAGGACGGTCTCTACTATATAGCGCCGAAATATCGACGATCCAATAATAGCAACAATGGTAACGGCAGGAGTAGCAGTGACAGCGACAACAACAGCAACAACAACAGCAACAACAACAATGACAAAGAGGCAGAGAGCGAACGCAGTCAAAGTAATAGAGCGGACGAAAGCCAGGCGAAAGCCAATACAAAAACGCATACATCAACGTCAAAGCGTGACAGCAATACCAATAGTAACGGTAATACAAAGTAAAGAGTGTGAAAGCAAAGCGACAAAATACGGTTTGATTTGGGTTATAAGTATACGCAGCCAATTGAATGCCATTAAGTGCACGCACTGATGGGTGTCTGTGAGTGTGTTTTTGGCTGAGCGGTGGTTTTTGGAGTGTCTGAATGATGTAAGCTTACGCGTTTTCGGTTATTCGCGCTCTCCTTAAGGTACTGACCCAAAGCGCGCGCTTGCTTTGATTACTCTAAAACTGTTCCATAGTAAGTTGATTGCGAAAACCAAATGCTTCAAGCGTTTTGAAATATTTGAAACAGTTATTTATATGAAAAAAATTTTGGCAGCCAAATTTCTCTTAAATCCAATTATAGTGGGACAAAGGAAAGCAAGGAAAACGCTTCGTTTGGGTCAATACCTTAGCCGGTTATTTATTTTTCAACCATTACACTTACATATGCATGCACTCATCCTTAGTACTAAATATATAGTATATTTTATACTAAAATATTCATAAAAAATAGGTATATAGTAGAAGACACTCAAAGCCGAACGTTGTCGAGTGCGCGTTCCAAATCGCTTTGACTTGCGTAAGTACTAGTTTGTGGCATGTGATTTCGCTAATAGACATAGGCATAATGCTAAAAATAAAACGAAAAAAAAAATAAAATTATTATTTAGTAAATATAACGAACATATTTATTTCGATTTAAGCAGCATCGAAATCGTTTTACGACACATATTTCACCGAAATTAGACGATTAAAAACACCACTTTTTACGAATAAGTGTATTCATGAAATCGATTATTTAGTTACCACAAACAAAATTTGTACTTTTTGCGTTTATGATTTAAACTAAAAGAATTTTACTCATTTTATAAGATATGTCAATAAAGCATACTTGCACTACTTTAACTTTTAAAATCACTAAAAATGAGTGAATTTCATTTTTAAATCACTTGTTTGGTCTGTTGGCATATCTCTCGTTTATTGTTAATGACGAATGAGTCACATTTGAATATATCGTTGAAATCTACATGAAATATCTTGTAATCAAGGATAATTTTGGCAAAAATCTGCTTCGTATACCATAAGCACCAAAAACTATAATTCGAGGGTTTTATAAGTCAGCGAATTTCTTAAATATACATTTATATTTATATTCATAGTCTCCTTCAAGCATTTTACATTTCGAAGTCCTCAAAATATACTTTTTTTCCTATGATGAGGTCATCAAAAAATAGTTGCAAACAGCTTAATCTAAGGGCTAGCAGTTCGTAACCCAATTTATGAATTTGTATTCTGATGACTACAAATTGTGCTGATGGCACAGCATTTCTTTCACCAAATGCGAGAGCAAGATGCTGGGTTAAATATTCGCTGGTGTTCGTTTTATCCTTTTCAAGGTAAACGATGTAATGAAGACTCCTCGCGCATCCTAAAAAACGGTGGCCATACCCCTGTTAGCCAACAGACAAATCTTGCCCTTCTTAGCTGCGCGTTCACCCGAAAGGAACCCAATGTTGCTTGTGCTACGGCTAAATACTCCTTTTCAGTAGTTACTCAATCGTGTGTGAACAATCGCAGCACCCACAGCGTAGATAGCTTTTTCTTATGTATTCATGTAAAGATGTGATGTAACCGCTCAGTTAAGTTGCCTACATCATCTGTTATCTCACTCACTGTTATTCTCCGATCATACAATAAGATTCTACGGATTTTAATGACGATTTCTAGCGTGACGACTTCAGTTGGTTCAGTTGGGCGACTTCAACGCTTAGCCTCACTTGTACAATAGTTTTACGATCAGCACGGAACCCTGTAAATCACTTCTTAACTATTGAAATTGTTTGTACAGAGAGTTTGTTACTCAAAAAAATAAAATTCTTTGACTTAACAAAGATCCCTCGTATACTTGTTTAAGAAAAGTTACTTCGTAAACCCATATTGATGAAATTCATTTCTATTTCTATTCTTCCTGCTGTATTAAATCGCTTAAAATTAATGAATTAAAAGTAAATTTTCATTTCTGCCAGCACTTCTAGCAATCTACGAAACACTGCTCAAAGTCGATCTTTCTTTTTTAAAAGCCTTTAATGATGAATGATATTTACGGCCCTAAAATAGCCGCTCTATAAGGTTTTATTTTTATTTTTGGAAACAGAAAAAAGTCACAAGCAGTCCTGCCTGTGCAATATGGAGACTCGTTCGTTGCTGCAGTATTGCTTTTGGCCAAAATGTGACGAAGAAACAATGAAGTGTCTGCAGGCTAATTACGATTATGCAAAATGTCTGTGGTTTTTCGTATTTCTTTTCAAAAACGATGTTAAACTTGTTATGCTCTTAGGAAGTCATGATGCTGGATGTCATTGTGTCATTGTGTACTAGTTTCGAATAAAAAAAATTCCATATTCTATATACATTTATATTCATTTAAAATATTGTCCGTCGTAAGCGACTGCTTTTGCCAATCCTTCGAGTGGCATCTCTAAAAATATGACTTCCCTTTATTCTCAATCCATTCATTCAGCTATTCTTCGATTACTTGAAAAGACCCGAACCGTTGACATCCGTCCCCCAGTGTTGAAAAAGCCAGTAAAGTCAGGAGAATACGGCCGTTGGGATAATACCTTCCATTTCAGCGTTTTCAGGTTGTTTTTTGACGATTACAGCTACGTGTAGCCGAGCGTTGTTAAGTTACAAAATCACCTTGTCGCACCTTTAAGTTGTTTTTAGCACTCCTCAAACGCATTAGTTGTAGTCGCCTCAACGATTTCGCCGAGTTGGCATGGTCATAGATCCAGTAAAGCCTCCAATTGCTCATCTTCAAACTTTTTTGATTAGCCAACACACTCTTTGTCACCGATGTTAAAATTTTCACTTTTGAAGGGTCAAAAAGACTCTCTCCTGTTGACTTATCGGGCGGCGCAGATTCCCGATAAACTTCGACAAACTTTCGGTGGGCTTCAGTCGCACTTTTATTAAATACAAATATTAAATCAAAACTTCGCTCAAATCCACAAATATTTACGAAGACCAAACCTTATGCTGTCAGTTAACTAACAAATATCAACTCTATTACTTATTGAACTCAAATAAAGCTAAATACTCTATTTTTCTATTTAAAATATGAGAAATTTTTTAAATTCTATTAACATGTATGCTCTATATCTAATATCTAAACTAAATCCACAAAAAATCACATTTCAAATTATTTTTAAATGAAAAAACCCCACTTCTATAATACATATTCTTTATTAATTTATGCTTATAAGAAATCCTTATTACCCATTTATTACTAGAAATTAATTATTTCCAATGAAACATAAAAAAAAAACTCATTTTGTCAGTTGCACCGAAAATTCATAATACGGAAAATATTAATTCACTAAAAAATGATTGTAAATAACTATATAACCTTTTATTAATATTAATTATTTTTAAATTTAAGTATTACTACTCAGCAATTAAATGTTTAAAAAGAAATTATATTTAACAATAAATGAAATTGCATTATTTAAATTAAGTCAGGTGAACCTAACCTAGAATAAGTCAATAGCTAGTAAATAAATGTTAAGCAAGTCTATATATATACATAACTAAAATGATCAGCCATAACTGTGAAGATTGAAAATTTTCAATTGTTAAAATGTAATGAAAACAATGGTCAATTATATACATACATATTTAATAATAATAAAAATACAATTTAAATTTTTTATTTAATTGTAAGGAAAATATATATTATAGATTGTGCTTAAATTCAAATTAAACAACAATTTTTTTAATTAAATTAGAACAAAAAACGAACGATAAATAATTTATAATGTAATATTAAATCATTTAATGAAGAAATCAATAAAAATTCAAATTTATTAAGGTAAACTTTTTGAATGAATGACAGGCATATAAATGCAGGTAAAAATGTATATATGTAAGTATATAATAAAACTAAATATAGGGTTATCCATTTCCCGGTTTCAAAAGTACAAGGCAACATTTTGATTTCTGTCAAATTTAACTGTCAAATGAAAAATGTCTTGTTTTAGCTAAAAGTCCGGCATTTATGAAAACGAATCGCTACAACATCGCACAATGCGTTAAAATTGTTAAAATCTACTACCTTAAGACCAGAAAGTTGCCGGAAATTGTCATTTAAGCTGCCCGCGCTGAATTTTTTTTAGCAATTTTTTTTTGTTGCGTTGGTCCTTAATTACTATGCCAAAAATGAGCGCCATCTGTGTACCAGTTTGTTTGCAGTAGCTATTGAAATCAGTCGTCCTCACTTTGGAAACAGAAAAAAGTCACAAGCAGTCCTGCCTGTGCAATATGGAGATTTATTTCTTCTTTATGCAAGCGAAATTTCTTACCGTTGCGTTGTCTTAATGGAAAACAGCTTTTCGGTAGTTCTTTTGCTATTTCACAGCGCAAACGCTTCAACAAAGTTAAATTATATTCACTATTGCTGTTGGTGTTTCCGTTCCCAAGATTATATACTCGTATAAATATTACTTCAAGCTTTTGTTGCAGTCAACTGAGATGACTATCGTTTTGATTCCGTAGTCAAGTGATGGTTCTATCGCTGAAAAAGCTCTATTTTCTTATTGGGAGTACAACTTAACTCGGTTCAGTTTTTTGGGTTCAAAAAATTGCTTATTTATTGAAAAAAAAAATCATCATTTAAAGTATTGTCTATCATAAGCGACTACTTTTGCCAATCCTTCGAGTGGCATCTCTAAAAATATGACTTCCCTTTATTCTCAATCCATTCATTCAGCTATTCTTCGATTACTTGAAAAGACCCGAACCGTTGACATCCGTCGCCTAGTGTTGAAAAAGCCAGTAAAGTCAGGAGAATACGGCCGTTGGGATAATACCTTCCATTTCAGCGTTTTCAGGTTGTTTTTTGACGATTACAGCTACGTGTAGCCGAGCGTTGTTAAGTTACAAAATCACCTTGTCGCACCTTTAAGTTGTTTTTAGCGCTCCTCAAGCGCATTAGTTGTAGTCGCTTATGCTTCGCATCAACGATTTTGCCGAGTTGGCATGGTCATAGATCCAGTAAAGCCTCCAATTGCTCATCTTCAATCTTTTTTGATTAGACAACACACCCTTTGTCCCCGATGTTAAAATTTTCACTTTTGAAGGGTCAAAAAGACTCTCTCCTGTTGACTTATCGGGCGGCGCAGATTCCCGATAAACTTCGACAAACTTTCGGTGGGCTTCAGTCGCACTTTTATTAAATACAAATATTAAATCAAAACTTCGCTCAAATCCACAAATATTTACGAAGAGACAAAACTTTGTGCTGTCA